ACTCATTGCAATAAGAGTAACTATATTTCAACGTACCGTGGTCCACAAAGCAATCTTCGAAGCAACCAAATCTTGAGGCATGTTGAGTGTGAACTGAGATTGTATGGAATTGCCGTACATCAAATATCCCATCACAGCAACTGCAGCATACAACACGGTGCAAATCCCAAAGCTGCATTTTTCACAGTTTACTCACAAATTCAAAAAAAAAATAGCAAAAAGTGAAAAAAAAAAATGGCATAATTAAATAGGCTAAAGATCTTATGTTGTAAAAGAGAACAAAACTGGCATGATAAAGCCCACTAGCAAAGTTAAGCTACTTGATGGATAAGCAACTTAGTAATAGAATCAAATGAAGCAAGTCAAGAACTGACTGGACCGTAAATTATAACTGAGCGAGAATTACAAAACTACCCTGAGGTTTCGCGCGATAAGAATAGAACCCAGAAAATTTTCACAATTATGAAAAGAAAGAACCGTTTGAGAGTAATTGGTAATGCTTTTTATAAATGTAAGTTATTTCTCTCGATTATTTTTTGCTTATGTAAAGGGAATATATAAATTGTTATCAAACATCATTGGATTTTTCGGCGGCAATTTCAAAGCTTTATATTTATAATGTTACGGTGAAAACAAATAAATAAATAAGAGTTTGAATTACCTCGCTAAAAGTACAGCTGGGTACTGACGAGGATTCTCCATTGACGTATAAATATTGGGAAAAACCGCATGTCCCGAGTAGCAATAACCATATAGACCAACAGCAACCGGAAGTGTTGAAAGGTTTAGAGTTTGTGACCCTTTTGTCTCAAACCCGACTTGATCCACTAACCCGACCCAAAACAGACAAGCGACCACTAAGATTGATGCAATAACTCCTCCCGCTGATAAAATTATTGGAAGAATAAGCAAAATACGATTAGTCAATGAATAATGAAAAATAGTTATTCGATAATGTATAATAAGCCTACTCAAATAGGGCTGCAAACAAACCGAGCGGCTCGTGAGCGCTCGAGTCAAAGCTTGGCTCGAGCATTTTATCGAGTCGATCTCGAGCATAGGGCGGCTCGAGATATGTAGTGAATTACTAAAATACCCCTTATATATAAATGTTACAATATTTTATATATGTACTTCGTGGTAATTTTACTTGAAATTTGAGTCAAACTTGAGCCGAGGTCGAGCAATCTTTCGAGCATTTTGATTTCAATCGATCTCAAGCCGAGCTCGAGCGATTGTCTTCTTTTGTCGATTCGATCTTGAGCGTTATAAGAGCTCGAGAAGGTAAAAAAAAAAAATCAATCTTGCTCGATAAGGTCAACGCTCGACTCGGCTCGGCTGGTTTGCAGCCCTAATAACTCAAATATGAACCTTGAATTTAACTTTTGCTGGTATGAAATTCTTGATTACCATATCGATTACATCAAACATTCATTCTTTTACCATATCGATTACATCATAGCTTAATAATTTGGAGAAAACTGCAACAACTACACAGTTATTCCAGAGTTTAACCTTATTACAACAAAAATAAAAACAAATTAGTTTAACTTTCAGGATTACAATAGCCCTTAAATTAGTATTAACCATAGCCATTTGTTGAGTCTGTAAAAGAGAAAAACAAATAATAACATATTTTCTTCAAAGCAGAGCAAATATTGATGCTCACCAGATATGTAGCTGAGAATACTCATGTTCCGTAAATATACAGTGGGAAGAACAGCCAGTGCAATTATCACAGCAAAAAGATGGTGAGAGTCCAAGTCCATCAATCCCAAATTTAAATGCGCGTTTGGGAATAGTGACGACAGGTTATCACTCTCCAATATAATATATTCAATGCAGCAAGCCTGAAAATACAATAGCTCATTCAAGTATCATCGATCATGTCGAAAAATAATACAAGAGTCTCGGGTTTTTTTCAAAATAAGGTACTTACATATAGCTCAACGTACAAAATTATCTGCAACAAGAAAAAAAAAACAACAAAAAATGAAATCAATAACAATAAGTCATATATACATTTTTTTTTCTTTGTGCTCAACCGAACTTACGGATATGGCGAGGCGTCCTACAGTACCAAACGCTGCCTGACCAATGTCTGGATAAGTCTCAAGACCCGGTTGACTGTCCAAACAGTACCTTAGGAGAATCCCAGTGTAATAAGAAAGTAAAGCAAATATGAAGAGTATTGATAGCCCAAACCAGCCTCCTTGTTGAACAGCATAAGGAGTCGAAAGGATTCCAACTCCACATAGGACATTTATGCCTGCATTTCAAACTAACATATTTCATTATGATCTGAGTCACAACAAAAGAAAAATGAAATAGAAAGGAACAAGATCTTTTATATTATTGCATCAAATTTTGGAAAGTTGATTGGTAAAGTAAGGTAAATATGCTAATTCTCCTTAGAAATATGCGGTTCAAATTAAAAAATAAATCAAATATATATATATAAATCAAATATATATATATATATATATATATATATATAATAGAGATTATAAAAACGTACCATTTAAGACGGCTTGGCCATACGAACACTGGCGAGAAATCGGGAGCCCGTGAGCATCCGAGGCTTTACCCTCCTCGTCAACTTTCTTTACTCTCGAGGGTATAGGTGGCAAAAGATAATGCGAGCTTCGTCTTTCCTTAGGCTTCTCCTCCTCTAACAGAGGCTTACTCAAAGAAGGTAATATTTCGGGAGTGTGTCTCCTTGTAAGGGTCGATGAAAGGAAAGAGCTACCTAAACGTGATAATGTTGGCGTACCAAGAAAGTTCAGACTTGGAGATGGGACACTACTGTATAGATCGATCGATTGCCTGTGACGAGTTTTAGTGACACGGGCTTTAGCATTGTAGTCTTTTAAGCTAAATGCATATTTATTTAATTTACAACAGAAATAAAGTAATACCGAGAATTGCTTTTACTACTTGTACCAGATATTTAAACACTTATTAATCAGAGATTTTTTTTGCTTTTTCTTTACGACTTGGATCAATTTTTCAGAATTAGCAAGCTTGCAATAAACGAATTCAAAATCAAGAGCAAAAACAAAAAAATGCTGCTCGAGATACATATGAAGTTGTACTGAAGAAGGCCATTAAAACATGATTATAGACACAATTCAGAAAAACTCTCCAGCAGATAATATTTCTCATAGCAAAATTCACCATTCCCCTGCTCAACATCAACCACCACTCGAAGAGCCTCGAAAAAAACTGCCGCTTTGTAAAATATTTTAACGGCCTCAAATTACTGAAATTGTCTACCAACACGATAGATATTAACAACACTTTTCAATAATGCTCATAACCTAACATCATGATTCAGCATTAAACCTGTGATCTCTCTCTCTCTCTCTCTCTCTCTCTCTCTCTCTCTCTCTCTCTCACACACACACACACACTGAGAGACAAACAAAAAGAGGGAGTGATAGTTAGGAAGTAACCTGTAACTTTGGGGCCAAGAGGGATTGAGAGAACTGGGCTTTGTCTGCCTTTGATCGCCATTATCATCATTATCACTAGAGTAGTTTGAATAATCAGACTCATTCCCAGCTTCATTAGCTTCAACTTTCTCATCTTCTTCCTCACTGTCTATGTAAATACTCTGTTCAGACCCAAATTTCTTCATTCTCCTGCTATTTTCAAAGCTTCTGAATGCAATTTTTCCTCTCTCTTTTTTTTTTTCTTGCTTTAAAGCAGCACAGCACAGCACCCCTTTGTACAATTACAACGAACGAAGCGAAGCGAAGGAAAGGAATCAGCTAAATGCTGCTGACTAGACAAATAGATCTGAAAAAATAAATAAATAAATAAATAAATCAAGAACAAGATAATACCATCAGTTAAGTAATGTCATTGAAAAAAATACATGTGCAGTTATGGACAATTTAACAGAATACAATTAAAATAATTTGCACCAAAGACAGAGACAAAGAAAAAAAAAATATTAACAAGAAAGCTATATATGCACACACACACACACACACACACACACACACACACACACACAAACACAAACACATACACATACACATACACATACAAAGACATTGATTTTATTCATATTCGGTGCCCAGCCACAAATGTATAAAATAGAGCTACTTGGCTATCTTAGAACTTTTTTAATTGCACCAAAGACAGAGACAAGAAAAAAAATATGAACAAGAATGCTATATATGCACACACACACACACACGCACACACGCACCTATATATGCACACACACACACTCACACACACACACTACTTGGCTAAACATGAAAAAACAAATGGACAAAACAGCATTACAATCTCCAAGTTAGTAACTTTAGCATCTTCCTAAGTTTTTGAGTCAATCCCAGGCTTCAGACCAAATCTAAAACCACTAACACACTGCAGCCCACATAGTGTGTGAGCAGAAAGAGCAAGAAAGTTTCTTACTTTCTCAAAGATTATGGGCAACAGACAGAGAATCAAAACACTGTCGGGGGTTTCGACCTAAGATTTCGCGCAA